GCGGATTGTTAAACAGGTTACCTACATCTATTAACAGTAGTACGACTGTGACGTAAATAAGAGAAGCGTCTGATGCTTTTAAAGAGTTTGAGGCATAATTTAATACAATTTTTTCAGCTATAGGAGCGATAAAACATAGTTGTACTTTAGCCACTAATTGCTTGAGTTGTCTTTACTAGTCTCTTGTTCTTTTGATTACATGCCACTATAATTAGCTCTGGTTTAAAGTTCAATGCAATCACGGATATGTGAGTGGAGCGGATCGGGAGCTGCGATGTTAGGCATATTTGCTATTCGCTGACAATTTACGCATCCACCACAATATTAGGTGTATGAAGAATGCCCCACAAATCCGATCCGCACCATCATCGTGGCTGGGTTCACGCTGAACGGTATTGGACTGGTCCAAAAACTGAACAATGCGGAGGGATACCACGGTCAGAGCCTGGCGCAGCTACGCAGTCGTTAATAGTTCCCTCTGCGCCGAAACAGTAACAAACTAGTGGCCTCATTCCGCTGAACCTGAGGGAACCACCGACAGGGCGACGTCGGCTGGGACCGCTCGGGACGAGGCTGCTAAAAATCACAGGGCCAACGGAGATGTTGAGACCGCCCAAGCGAACAGGAGATGACAGAATCTAGTACTATCAAAGGCTACGGACGCTTGCATCGGAAGCTCACATCGAAGATCTGATGTTGCAAGCCAGGAAGATCAAGTACGACGTCATCGGACTGACCGAGACGAGGAGGCATCGCCCGCTACACGCCGTGTACGAGACTGGAGAAGAACTGTTCCTCGGAACATGCGACAGCAGAGGCGTTGGCGGTGTGGGCGTCCTCGTCAACACGGGCTCAGCACTTGGCAAAGGAACGTCAGATATCGTACGAAAGTCGGAACGCCCGAATCGAGACGTTTGCGATGGAGAAGATGTGGATTCAAAACTCATTATTGACAACTTCGCGCCTACGCACCAACAAAAGCTACACGAAGATGACTCGAAGCCTGCTAAATAGGAATTGGAGAGTTCTACAGAGAAGATCATATCTTCTATCAAGGCAATCGTCGGACAGGCTCACGCCAAGACGGAACACAAGAAGAACGTTGAATAACTTCACCATCGCAGAATCTCAAAGAAACGACTAGAATGCAAGCGAGGGTGAAAGCGGTACTGAGTTTAGTCATGTCCCAACCACCAATCACAATGGGAACTCGCTCGTTCAGAAGCCCTACCTCTGACCTGGACCATGGGGCCTCCGTGGCTAATCTCCCATAACGAGATCGACCACATCATCTGCAATCGAAGGTTTTGCCTGACCGATGTCGCTGTTGTCCCTAAGTTCTACACGGAATCCGACCATCGCCTCCTTCGCGCAAGATTCCGCTTTTCGATGCGAGGAGAGAGAGCCGCAAAGTTCAAGAAGCGAAGCCCCAAGACCACCATCAACTGGGATCACTTCACTTCTCTCGCTGGGCTCTGGGAGGATTCTGTAATCGGAACGAAACATCGCAGAGCGAATCACGAACGGACTTGTTGTACACATCTTCACCGACTCGCAAGAAGTCAGAGGGGTCTCCAAGATTACCAAGAAGCGTCTATCTCTGGAAACTCTCGAACTGATTCGCCAACGTGGAGCCGCACGAGCCGCAGGCAATTACCAGCTGACGTCTGAGCTTGCGAAGCTATGCAGAGGAGCGATAAAGGAAGACCTCAAGGAGAGAAGAGCAGCAGTACTGGTGGAAGCCGCAGAGGCTGGGAAGACGCATACGCAACCCGCGCCGCCGCGACTTCGCCAAACTGTAAGACCAAGATGACCGCCCTCCGACGTCCGGATGGAACAATCACCGCATCCAGAAGGGCAATGGAGAAGGTCATCCACGACTTCTACTCGGATCTCTTTGACGACAGCCACGTCCACGTGCAACCATACCGCTTGGAGCAGGATTGATAGTCTCGGCGTTTCCTGCAGGCAGTTCCCTTCCGAAGTCCGACACGCCATCTCGTCGGTGAAGAATCGTACGGCACCCGGTCCCGACAGGATCAGACCCGAACATCTGAAGAATCTTCCGCCAGTTCTCGTCAAAACTCTGGCTCGACTCTTCACGCGCTACCTGTCGGAATGCAAGGTACCCACCTCGTGGAAAACCAGCAAGACTGTGTTGCTGTACAAGAAGGGAGACCTGTACGACATTGGCAATTATCGCCCAATCTGCCTGCTGTCTGTAGTCTACAAACTCTTCACACGAGTCATCCTTAACAGGATTGGAAGAACACTAGACGAAGGACAGCCATGCGAGCAAGCAGGGTTTCGAAGAGGATTCAGCACGATCGATCACATCCACACGGTAACGAAGCTCATCGAAGTATCGCGAGAGTACAAGATGCCGCTATGTCTCACGTTCATCGACTTGAAGAAAGCCTTCGACTCCGTTGAGACAGAAGCGGTTATCGAAGCCCTGGGCAACCAGGTATTCCTACTCAGTACATCAGGATTCTTCGTGAGCTCTACAGCAACTTCACGACCAAGATCTCACCATTCTACAAGGAGATCATCATTGATGTGAAGAGAGGGTCCGACAGGGCGACACCATCTCGCCCAAGCTCTCAGGCGCGCCTTCTCGAGAACGTCATGCGTCAACTGGAATGGGAAGACATGGGAGTGAAGATCGACGGTCGGCAACTACACCATCTCCGCTTTGCTGACGACATCGTTTTGATAACACCAAACATCGAGCAAGCGGAACGAATGCTGGCTGAATTCGACTGCGCGTGTGGAAGAATCGGTCTACGACTGAACAACTACACGAAGACGATTATCATCGAGAAACGGGATTGGTGGCTGATGGCCCCATTCACGCTCAACAGACGACCACTCTCGGACAGTCTCTGTAGCTATTTGTACCTAGTCGTGAAATCAATATGATGAATGACCTAGCTCCAGAGCTGAGCAGGAGGAAGCGAGCGGCTTGGGGAGCCTTCAAGAACATCGAGGTAGCGAAGAAGACGAAGAACACCAAGCTCCGTGCCCACCTCTTCGATTCCGCGGTCCTTCCTGCCTTGACGTACGCCTCAGAGACTTGGACTCTACGAAAGCAGGATGAGCATGCGGTCGGCGTTATCCAACGCGCCATCGAAAGGGCGATGCTCGGAGTTTCCCGCTACACGCAAGTGAGAGAGGGAATCCGGAGCTCCGCACTCCGCCAACGATCGAAGATCAGAGAAGCCGCCCGCAGTTCCCAAGGTTCGAAGAGAGGTGGGCCGGACACGTTATGCGTTTCGAGGACGACCGCTGGACCAGAGCAGTCACCGACTGGATTCCACGGGATGTCAAGCGAACGCCTGGACGACCGCCTATGCGATGGTCAGACTTCTTCGTGAAAGCTCTGAACGAACGGTATGAAGTTCATCGATGTCCCCAGCTGAGAAAGTTATCATGGGCAAACGCTTGCACGTTCAGGACGAATGGAGACGTTACGCGCCGCTCGAGAAAACATCGATGATCAACGGGAGCACAGGTGATACAGGTGATGGAAGAAATGAAAAGAAAAATTGAGAAATTTTCGAGAGATTTCAACCTGCTCATATGACATTTATTGATAACAATGAGAGATAGTATTCATATTTATGATAGACATTTCTAACGCTTTGCACGGCGTTTCTTTCAATAATAATGTCGAATTGCAGGCTTGGCTGGACGAATTTTCCGAGAGGAAACCGAGATATTTCTACCGAAGAGGCACTGAACAGGTTACGATGGGAACAAGTCGTAAACAGCAACGGAGAGTATATTATTGATTAATTTTTTGTTTGTATTGTTGAAAATAAAATTTAAAAAAAAATTGAAAAAAACGGCCATTACTTATAGCCAACCCAATACTTTGCTGTCGATTTCTATTTCATTCGATATAGACGTCAATGGTTCTGTCGCTGCACCCGTCGAGCCTCTGAATTCACGACACCCATATTGTCTGCATTCACTGACTATTTTTAGAACTTTTCGTCACTGATCTAATATGAGTGCCATTCTCGACGTTAGTGTATAGTAGTGTTTCAGATAGAGGCCAATAAGACACAGATAATTTGGAGAGGTATCTTAGGGCATAACTACTCTCTATCACTTGCATCCTTCTTACTTATAGATTTCATCGCTGTTTTGTTGGTTAAATAATTTTACTTGAGGGATGCTTCTGTTATTCTGAGTCGATTGTTTTCTGATTGCACACGCAGGGATCCTTTGTAATGAATGATTGCAATTACAATATACAGGAGACAGATCGCGATTTTTTTGCGTATTAGAGAATGAGGAAACGAAACAAATGCAGACACCTAAATTTTTTTCAGCAATTCCTGACAATATGTGCTATGTTATGGCTGCTAAGCATCGAAACATGTCCTGAATTTCAATGACGCGTTAGTTGTGCTTGCACAAAGGTCAACTGCATGAATTCATTATGCTCTATTTCCACTTCTGATCATAATAGACTGCACAGAGGTAATATTCCAGGAAAGAATCTTGGCGGGTGAAGAAAATAGCTGTTCGACACATTTCCTGTATGGATGAACGTAGTATATGGTGATCAACGCATCAAGCAACGGACCTGAACAAGATCATTCACTCTCACTGCCTTGAGTAATAAATTGCTTGTTGCGGGACAATTCTCTGTGAAAGCAACTTGAAGATGTAAGGATCATTTCTGTCATGTGGAATCCGCTTCGTCTGATCCCAGCCTTGATTGATGTGCCACGCGGAGGAAGTTCATTTCAGAACAGAGCGTTTTAAGGATGACATTAACAGCACCTAATCCACCTCCAGAGAAGTGATTCCTATGCAGATCAGTCAGAAATGACCATTTGGTGAACTAATGAGTCCAGGGTTGAAAATTTGCTGGAAAGAATGCGTATCAAATGGCATCACACGTAAACACAGCTCCGTACACGGTCATAATTTTCGTGGGGTGTAAGTTGCTCTCAAGATTGATTTGAGAAATCTGATCAAATTGTTTACCACTCACCAATGGACAGGCACGGTACGACGATATAGCTCGGAAATCGCTCATCTACAGCATCGAACTGCACGACCAGGTACACACCCGCTGCTGGGAAAATCGTTACCAGTGGCACAAGAGATTGAAGCGTCAGCGCCTATGCACAGAACCATTATATTATGAAAGCACATCTTTCTCTCCAGTGTGATAACATTCACGTCTCCCAACTGGATTAAGGATGTTATGCACAAGTAGCAATGAACACTTGCACAAGATACTCATTTTAACGCCTTATATTGAAAACTCTTCTGTTGTATAACTCCGCTTGACGCTTGACTGCGAACGCTAACGACTGAAAATTTTTTGACCTACAGTTCAGTTTAACACAGGCTGTTATCCAATGAAGAAAACAGCAAAGGGAGGAAATAATAAGAATGGCTGTCTCACCGATGAATTAAAAATGTAAATTTCAAGTTAAGGTTAGTTTGTATACTCGAAACCCCTGAGATCGGGTAGGCGTGGCCGCATGTTTCAACTTAACCTGAAGGTGTCTATGCTTCTGGTGAGATATTTTCATCTTGACACAATTGTTGTCGTGTCTCTGTCCAACACAGAACAAGATGACAGTTGGACTGGAATATTCCACGAGTAACCAGTTCCGTGCCATGTTCAAATGCCACGCCTACTCTGGCTCAGGGATAAGGAGTGTAATATTGCGAGCTAAACTTTGTTCTGGAAGCGACAAGGTTAGTGAAAT